AGATATATATAAATATATATAAAGGAAGTGAGTGAATTGAAAATAAGTTGCAAACAAAATTTATTTACATTAAGCATTGATTTATCATTGTAGATTTTTTTTTAGGCCAACATAAGTAAAAATGAAGTTTTCCTTTTCAATTTTTATGAGGAGCATCATGTTCCAAATCCAGAGTATTCAGCGGTGAAGAACTTGGCACTACTGTAGCTGTTGATTCTGCCCCAGCAATCAAATCAGAGATATTTGACACTTCTGCAGCTGCAACGATTGGCTGTTGAGTGATGCCCATTTTCTCATTTCTTTTTCCCCACAAGAAGGAGTACAACCCAACTATGATCAAAACCATGCCCAACAACCTGCATGTAGAAGTACGTGAGTGTTTTGTTTTCTGTGTGCCATACAAAAGCTACAATATTGAGTAGAACAAAAGTTATATTCAAGGTTATTCTTTAGACAGATTTGAAGAATGTCTACAAGTAGAAATATTCGTACGTTCCAATGGTCAGTGGTTGTCCGAGAATGAGAGCTTCTGAAAAGGCCACAAAAATAAGAGAGAGGGGATTGAACATCGAAGGATAAGTAGGTCCTTTGATTGTTATTGCCCAAGATAGTATGCAGAATGTAGCAGCAGTAGCCAGTGCTCCCTACACAAATAAATAATCACTTGAGAAAATGTTCATCAATTTAGAAACTATGCCATAAATTACTTTTGTAAAGAATATATATTACAGAGTAGATTATGGTGAGCAGTTGTAGATTCCACTCTAATCTCCAAGCAGCTTTACTAGAATCTATGCAGACCCCTACGATTCCTGCTTGAATTGCTGCTATAACGCATGATAGCATTGTTGCCCAATACCTAAGTGGAAATACTTTAAGCAATTGGACCTGTTTAATGAAATGAAGATAGCAATTTGAGAAGGAAAATATATAGTGACAGAGAATTGAAAATAAAGAATGAGATATATACTTGTAGAAGAAACCAAGCTGTGTATGAGAAGCAGCTGCCGATCAAAAGGAAAGTACCCCGAAGCATGTGAGTTGGTTGTGCTGCAACATTAGTTTGAGCATGATGACTATGATGAAAAAGATAAAATTGTTTGCCTTTGTAAAGACTGGTAAGTAATGCTCCACCAACACACAAAATTGCCCCTGCACACTTAGTTCTACCACTCCAATTTTTCAGCCCTAATTTCTCCAATCTACATTGATTCATCAACTAATGAGAGTATTGAATAACAAGTAATACTTTTTATATAGATTATAATATAATTGGTATAGTTATAATCATGTTGTTTATACCTGCAAATGACTGAGGTGAGGAATGTGCATATTGGAACCATGTTGAGAAAGTTAACAGAGTAAGTAGCTGAAGTATCTCTCAGCCCATAATAGAATAAGCCTTGAGCCAGAGTCATTCTGTAATTGGTGCCATCACAGTCTTAGAAAAGCATAATGATATAGTTTATATATCACACTGTAAGAAAAGCATAATAGTAAGTGAAGAATTCGTACCCAACCAATGCGTTAACGAAGAGCCAAAACCAAACTTTGGGAGTAAAACTCACTGT